TTTGGTGAGGAATTTTAACTCTGTCTTTTTGTAAAGATGTTTCTCGGCTGCATTCATGTTAAACTTTTAATAGTAAGAGCCTATTTGATAATCACGGTTTTCTAAGATTTTCAAAAGAGGCTGACACTGATATCATTAATGTATAATATGCCTTTGCAACAAGTTGGGACTAAGGTTTTGGGAAAATGTGGAAAATGTGCTATGGTGGACACAGAGAGAATTTCAAGACTTCTTTTGCCGTTGTCACTTTATAAGGTCAATCAGTAAGTTTATTCTCTTTTCTCGCGTATCTAGGATCGATCGCCAAATGTTACGAAGGGATCAAGCACAGTATAGGCAGTATTTAATATACATCTTCCGTTAATTTCCAAGTATACTCCCTGAGAAGTAACAGAAATCTACGGTTAAATACTAGTAACTAACACTAAGGTAACATTGATAATCCTCAAGCTAGCTGCAATATTTTTTACATCCTTTACTCAAATTAACCCTGTCGAAGCCATTGCGCGCACTCTAAAAATCCTGAATAAAAGAAAGTGGTGACTAAAGAAAGGAATGTATGAGTTACATCGGCTAGAGCATACTGTTTAAGAGCATGTAATCATCCAGAGGCGATGTTTCTTCATAAGGTTTTCAATATGTTGCTAGATTGCAAAAGCTTCAAAGGGTGGGAAAAAACCCTTTTTTGCTGCTTCTTCGTTCCCCCTCTTCCCCCTTGTCATTCCCACTCCCTCGTATCTTTGATTGCTCAGGCTTGGCCTAATTGGTGAGGTGACTGGATTGTTGTTCTACAACAATTTACCGTCGTAACTGGATTTCCAACTTGTCAAAATGTAGCTCAAAAATGTAAATTTTGAGTAATTACTGGGAAATGCTTGATCAATTTTGAACAGAATCGAACGCAAAACTTTGTTTAGATATAGGAAAATAAAGGCATTATTTTGAAAAACGGGGAAAAAACGTTTGAACCCTAATTTCGGTTTGTGAAGTGAGCAATTGCAAAGGCTACATTATTTCTTTAATTAGGTGAAATTTCTTAATTCTAGATGTGAGCAGAAGTGGATGAGTGAGAACAGTTCAAATGAACTGCATAACTCTAACGGTAACAAGATATTTTCTTATTACCAAGACATTGACTAGACGCACCTGCATAAAATTATTGTTGTGATCGTGCACGAACAGTAGTAGTGCTTGTGATTGATCAGTACGAAATGAAAACACAGTTTGCTCAATTAAAGGATTCTGCGATAACTCGTACTTCAGAAATCCACCATAGAATGAGACGGATGAGTTCTGATTGATGTCTGGAAAATTATCTTGCAGTTTACATTAGAGATTCAGCTATTCAATTGTTAATGCTCTGACTGTTCCATAGGATGATGGCTCCGCCCACTTTTCCAGATAACTGACCAATTTCACAATTCCGTCCACTTTGCACGTTAGGATTTTTACAGCGACATGCGGCAGCATCGGCGGCGAAATCTTCCACACATTGAGCACCATTCTGACAAAAATTCGCGGTACAGCGATCTTCACAATATGGTGAAATGCCTAAAAATAGAAGAAGTTGGGAGGGTTCGTCCCAAAAAACCAAATGATTTTTTGAAGGTTTTCATACCTTCTACGTGCTGAGCAAGTCCTTGTAAGTGAACAATATCATCGTTAACCCATAGTGATCTCACACAACCAATGAAACCGCTGTAAATAAGAGGTGAGAAGGAAGACCAAAAAAATATTTCTAAACATTCACTTGTCGTCATCATTGAGCGTCAGATCTCCATCTGGAATCTTATCACTTGAAACGCTTGCGAATGCGTTGAAACCGTTGATTCCGATGCGAACTTCATCATTTGCAAATTCGAGATTTAGCAAATGCCATTTTGTATCGTTCAAGCTAATAATTATCGATTGATATTGATTTAGTATAACATTTTCGCCGTATCCTACCGTGCTTGAGATTCTACAGCAACACTGGAGTTGAATAACGAAAGGCGAATCATGTGGCCTGAAAATCATGCACTCCTGTAACTGCTGGTAAGAGCTACAGTTGGTGAGAATGAGCCACACTGGGCGATAGCGAGCGACTATGGGCGACAATGAGCGACAGAAAGCGACTTTAAGCGACATTGGGTAACAGTAAATGTTACTTACCATTTATTATTTCCACTTTTAAATACCGCTCTTCATCTTCAACTATAGATAGTATGGTGGCAGATGAGTCTGCTATTCGGAACTGCAATGATAACGGTTCACCCCTCCATCGACGAACAACTAGCGCCTGTGGCTCAGCGAATCGAATTGGACCATGGCTGGCTGAATGCGATCAATAAAATCAATAAATCTTGATGGAGGAACCAACCCACCAAATCCTTCACATTCTAATGGACCTATAGTGAATTTACCACTGACATCACCATCGCTATGTAAAGCCACCTAAAACAGATAGTAAATTTTGATCTGGAGCTACAGAAAAATCAATAGCACCTACAATTCTTATGATCCCTGCATCCTCTCCATATAAATAACCTGCATCGCTTGCTATGGCTCTAGAGTCGCAGTTACACTTCTCTAAGCAAAAATCAATAAATTAGACAGCCAATCAATAATTTTAGCAATTTGAAAGTAGACCATTACTTCCTTCAATGCATCCCAAGTCCATACAAGGACAACTATTTGGCACGTGTCCAATCTTTTTTACAGTACGATTCCAGACAGCCACATTAAACCAAGTCTTATTGGATTCAAACCTAAAAGACTGCTATCTTTCCTGTTATAAAAACATGAAAATTAAATCTATAAACGATCCATGCAATGCTCACCCTAGCGCAGCATTATTGCAGTCATACTGTACAAATTGTCTACATGAGCCAGAGTTTGTGATGAGTCTGAAATATCAAAACTTCTCAGTGGTCATATTTTGTATTGCGCAATTTCAATTCATCGACAATTTCGTCAAAATTAAAGAAGTATATGAATTAGCCTTTAACAGATTTTTGCAGCTTTATCTATCTAATATCCCAGCAAAAGAGTAAGAAACGAGAGGGA